TACTTTACAAAGCAAATCAAGCAAAAGTATGATAATAACATCGACTTTTTAGTGTTGAAACCTTTACCAATCTATGCAGAAAAGTGATTGTAAACTCCTGAAAACTACAATTGAAAAATTGTTGCCTGACATTAAAATAAATTAAATCTGTTCTTGAAACGAAAGAAACTACTTTAACTCTAAAAAGAGCATCATTTCCACTACATGGCAAGGTTTTTTTTTTACCAGGGAAAGGAACTTTTACCTTTAAAAAGCCTTTCTTTCGCAAAATAAAAAAAAGTAGAGTAGTATTGATAATTTTTTTGGTGTTTCCACTAAATGAGAAGGCCTTAATAAGGGTAAAACAACCTTACTTTCCAAGCAATCTTTTCGCCCAAGTTTTTTTTATAATAATCAAGTACTTACAAGAAAATTAGTAATTTCATGGACTACAAATCTTTAGTAAAAACTGCATGCATGCCATTTCCTATTGGAGAAAGTGGATTTCTGCAGAAATTAGATCTTATAATGATTAAAAAAGAAATTTACTAAAAAAATAAGTTTGAAATACTGTAAAACTTCTGAGGTTTGGTAGAAACTTCTGCCTGTCTGCTAAGAGAAATTTTTTATTTTTTATTTTTACGCAATTGATTTTTTTATCAATTACTTACCAGAAAATTAAACTATATAGTGACTTGTTGCAGTTATCAGAGACCAAATTAAACCAGTTGAAATCTTTATTAGTAAAATTGCATGCATGCATTTCCTATTAGAAAACACGAATTATTTGACTAAATGCAGAAGTTAGATCTCAAATTAAATAGATTGTTTTCCAAAAAAACTACTTTTCAAATGTTTAATATTCTAAATTACAGCAGTAATCATTTGTAACTTGTAATAACTTCAAATCTATGAATAATAACCAAATTGCATGCAAATGCATACACTTCCCCATTACAAAAACTTCTGCTTTTCTATTAAGAGTGCTTTCCAAGACAAAGGTGAGTCCTCAACGGAGAAATCGAAAAAAAGATGAAATTTTGAGAGGTGGGCTGAGTCGGGTTTTGAGAGGGAAGAGAAACCCATGAAGGAATCTGAGAAATTCGAAGAGGGGGCGATCGATCTTGGCCTTCACCAAAATAAAAAAGAGATGAAATAGTTTGCAACTTGATTGACTAAAGCAGACTATCACCAAAATAAAAAAGAGATGAAATAGTTTGCAACTTGATTGACTAAAGCAGACTAATTTCCAAACTCATTAAATTAAACTGTGGATGCATAGCTAAAAAAATTAAGCTAGAAGAGATATAGTGAGCTTTAATTACCAAACTAAAGAAACCCAAGTGGAGCTCAGAGTGAAGAAGCGGAGAAAGCGAAGTAAAGTGAGGATTGAAGAGGGCGATGAGATTGAGAGCCAAGGCTCCTCCTTAGATACCCACAAGAGAAATAAAGAATCTGAGATTTTTTTTTTTTAAATAAAAATTCTCTTTTGGGTTCTCTTGAGTAGTTTTTGTTGTTATTTGTTGAATGCTGCCAAGTTTTCAGAACTTTTTTGGGCTTGAGAGTTCCCAATTCCGAAACCGTCGTCAATTGGTCCATGACATGGCCACCGGTTTTCGCTCTCTTTCCGCACGAAGCGTAACCGCCTGCCTGAGTTTGAACAGGAGGGCGGTGTAGTTTGTAAAAAGAGGCTAAATAGCAGTTGAATACCTTAGAGCATCTCCAATAGTTTCTCCAAAATTTTCTTCAAAATGAGGAAGCAAAAGTCATATTTTTCAACTAATTTTTACAGCAACTCCAACAGTTTCCCCAATTTGAAGAATCCATTTTTTCCTCCAAAAATTTGAAGAATGCTGCAGATTTGGAGAAGCTTCCCCATTTTTTCTCCTCCATCCCTATTTTGGAGAATGAGATAGGGAATCTGTTGGGCCAAAAACCTAACTAAATTCTCCAAAAGTGAGAAATGAGGAAGCTGTTGGAGATGCTCTTAGGGCCCGTTTGTTTGCATTATTTGCAGGCTTTCACCTTCCAAAAATTGTGTCCAAACGGGCTCCTGTAGTTTCACTCGCTTTGCATTTATGTACCCTCAATTATTTTTCGTGGCATTTTATATATATCCTATAAGTTATTTAAAATTGTCACATTGGTATTCTTTATCATGCACGCCGAAGTGGAGGCACGTAGAAAGAGGCTCGAGTGAGGACGCCTTTTGGCTTTGTCCTTCTTGGGAGGGGTCGAGTGAGGACGCCACTTGACTCGTCCTGCATAGAGCCGAGTTGATATGATACATAGTTAATTCAGGACATGTGTCAACTCCTAAAGTGGGATTAACATTTAGTTATTTTTGTGATACAATATTAGCCCCTTTTACTCGAACTTGGGTGGCCGTTTCTAGGTGAAATTAAACCGTCACCTGTTGGGATTCTGAGGTGCATTTATGAGGAGTCATTGATGGAACGCTGTTGACGTGATTTTTTGACATCAGGGGGATCGTGCGCCAACGCTGCTTTAATTTCTGAGCAGGGATTGCGTGACCATTGGAGAGTGGCGCTCCGATTGCTGAGCAATCTCTTCGAATTCCAGAGTTAATTCCATCCATCCATTAGTAATCGAGTCGATCGTTATGATTTCGCCACTTCTCTGCCTACTTGCCTATATATACACTTGCTCTTCTAAGGGATCAGTTCTACTTGCTTTTGAAACCCTAGAACTCTTTGCAACTTGCGCGATTCCTTATCATCCCATCACCTTTGCCAACAATCTCCTTTGAGGCTTGAATCAGTCTGCTTAGAAAGTTTCATTCCAAAGTATATTCGACGTTGCTCGAGACCTACTACGATAGGTAAGACATTCCCAGGGCGCTCACGTTGTTGGTGCTGGAGAAGACTCAGGCCATGTACGACCACAGAGGCAACGTCGCTCCAGTGTATATCAAACACTTGGAGTACAATTTGTGCCTTCCGCTTTATCCTTTCCTCCGCCGAATTTTTGAAGCTTTGGGGGTCTGAACTTCACAGATCAAACTGAACTCTATTACTACACTGGTGGAGTTTGTCGTCATCTGCCATCGGGTGGGAGTCAAGCCGACTCTAAGGATTCTTGGCCATCTGATCTGCATTAAGGTCAGGAAAAACGAAGACCACTTCTACTTCCACAACCTGGGTGGCTTCAAGTTAGTTTCAAACCCTCCCGAGTCGAACAAAGATTGGAAGAAGAAGTTTGTCTGGGTCTTCGGGGCGGATCCAATTTTGGCTTGCTCGGCTTGACCCAGGACCAAGATATTCATTTCTGATTCATTAGATTATGAAATAGAAGGGAAAAAACCATTTAATAATATAAGTAGATATATTCTCACATATCTAAATACTATAATCAATATTGGCATTTCATGCATAGGGGACAAAATAGCACTGAATATTCATGATGACAATAATGAATCTAATTTTGTTTACCATGTGAATTTGACTGTTGCTAATTGGCATCTGCTATTAATATTCATGATAAGAATAATGATAGCTACATCATTTTCTCTTGGGGACTGTTTGGTTGCACACTTTTTGAGGAAATTTTTCTCAAAACATCTGACAATGGCAAATTTATAATTAAAAGTTTTCCAGAGATTTCTGTAAATTGTGTTTGGTTCAACAAAAAATTTACAGAAATATTTTTTATAAAATATCAAAACCTACCAAATTTTACAAAAAGCAATTTCCTCTCAAAATGAGAGGAAATCACCAGAAATCTGACACATACCATATTTAATTAAAAACCTACCAAATCTTGTTATTTTTTATAAAGTTATGAGCTATTTTCTTGTTTTGAACCAAACAAGCAAAGTACAAAAAACAAGAAAATTGGTACTTTTTGATTTCTCAAAACTTTTCCTATAATTTTTTTAAGAAATACAAGGAAATCATATTTTAGGTAGAAAACATTTCCTATAATTTCTAGAAATTGAACCAAACACCCCCTTACACTAATTTTGCGCTGCAGAGGGGAAAATGTAGGCTCTCTTGACAAGTCATCAATTAAAAAAAATTCAAAAAATAGAGCTCACTCTTTTTGTCTCGTAGCATCACTACTATAATTTTAAGAGATTTGAGCGGAAATATATTAAAGCCCTATATAAAGATGTTAAAAATAGTTACAATAGCTTTGATGACATGACATCTGCTCATTAACATGGCTACCCATATCAAAGCCATTGACAAGTTCGTAGCATTATTATGTGGGTGTCATCCATATAAATTGTTACAAGTTTCTGTTAAATCATAGAAAGTAGGTATAAAAAAGTTATATTATTTCTTCCCTTACAGCTTACTAGCCTTAGCTCCTTACCCAGAATAACTAAAGAAATAATCTAAGCACCTTTTACAACGGTGGTAGTCGCGAGCTGCAAACGGACAGGTATTTAGAACTATAGTTGCAGCTATAACGAACTAAACAATTACAACTGGAAAAAAATTGATTCAGTTGCATGTAACTACAGTTGCAACCCCTCCACTTACAATCTACTAAACGCACCCTTACGCACTTGCTGCGTTAGCCTACAATTATCATCTAATCCATGTGTAGCCTGGCACTCTTTGGCGAGAATCGGATCCTCTCATCTATGGGGCTGTTTGGTCCCTGTTTTTGAGGGAAAGACTCTCTTGAAAGCCTGCCAAAAATGCAAAAAGTGTCATTTTTGGCAGGCTTTCAGCCAAAATTGCCTCTAAAAAAGAAGATTTTGGTTGAAAGCCTGCCAAAAAGTGATACTTTTGACACTTTTAGCAGGCTTTCAAGAGAGCATTTCTCTCAAAAACAGGGAACCAAACAACCCCATAACTTCAGTTGCAATTACCATTTAATATTATTTTCAACTTACCCAAATAAATAAATGAGAGAAATTCCATGGGCCCTTATAGCCCATTACTCCTCCGAAGATCAGCCCAAGTCACACTTAGTAGGGGCATATTAGTAACATCACTAATTGTTAGGGCTTTTTTCTGAGACGCTATAAAATCGCAAATCTCTGGCCCCGTTCCCCGCCTCCGGACTTCGACGACGTGAAATCTAAAACCCTAGCCCTAGCGCGCGCGCTCTCCCTCCCTCTCTCTGTCGGCGATCTAGGGTTTTGTTCTCAGTTAGAGACTGTGAAGCCATGGCGACCCGAGCTCTATCGCAAAAGGAGCAGGACATCCAGATGTTGCTCGCCGCCGAGGCCCACCTCGGCACCAAGAACTGCGACTTCCAGATGGAGCGTTACGTTTACAAGCGTAGATCTGATGGTAATGCCAATCTCCTTACCAAATCCAAAGTTTTCTTAAAAAAAAAACCTTTTTTTAGTATTGGTTGTAAAAGTCATCTATTAAGTAATCCACCTCGACAACATGTTGAAAATTTCCGATTTTTGTTTGAAATTGAGTTAGATATTAGTTGGTTAGGAGTTTAAATCAGTTCTTTTGGTCCTTGATTTTGCCGCGCTTAATAATTTTGAGTACATTGTAATCAAGTTAATCGGCGTGACTTCTTTGCTGGCGTCATGCTCATTGTCAAAAGTCCATGTGAGTTTGCATTATCACAAGTGTTGTGAAGTTTAATGGGTAGAATTAGATGGAATGTAACTTCCGGATTCTGATGTTGTCTTCTTTTTACGTGGAAATGTAATTTAGGTTCTGTTTGGTGTCAAAAGGCACATTCTTTTGACTGTAATGTTAGCTCCTTGTTTTAAAGTCGTGAATTAACTCGGCTACGTTTGTCCAGTTGCCCTGAATTCGATATGAGAATTTGGCAAAGATAATTAGCTTGTGATGGTAAATTGTTTTAACGTTTTCGGTGTGTAATCTTATTAACGGGACCTGATTGCTTATAGTCAATTCTATACCAAATCTATCAGAAAAAGATATTACAAGCAATATCTCTAGATAATTGCTGTTGTTTGTATGCAGATGTATAATAACGAGTCATTTGTAAAGATGATATGTTCCTTTATGAGTTTACTGACTTTTACTTTTGATACAATTTTAGGAGAATAACATTTTTGGGAAAACAATCTATAGTTTTATATGGTGTTATATCTCAACATTTTCATTGTATTAACTCAGGTATCTACATCATCAATCTCGGAAAAACTTGGGAGAAGCTTCAGCTTGCCGCCCGGGTTATTGTCGCCATTGAGAACCCCCAGGATATAATTGTGCAATCCGCAAGGCCATATGGCCAGAGAGCTGTCCTGAAGTTTGCACAATACACCGGTGCTCATCCCATAGCAGGGAGGCACACACCCGGAACCTTCACGAATCAAATGCAGACATCATTTAGTGAGCCTCGCCTTCTCATCCTCACTGACCCTAGAACTGACCACCAGGTGAAGTTCTCATTTTGAATTATTCATGATTGTATTTTTTTTGAGATCCTTTAGTCCATTATTTTAATGACGCAAAGATTGTGTGCAGCCCATCAAGGAATCTGCTCTTGGAAACATCCCTACTATTGCTTTCTGTGACACTGATTCCCCGATGCGATTTGTTGATATTGGCATTCCAGCCAACAACAAAGGGAAGCACAGTATTGGTTGTCTTTTCTGGTTGTTGGCCAGGATGGTGCTTCAGATGCGTGGCACAATTGCTCCTGCACACAAGTGGGAAGTGATGGTAAGATAAAATTGCTGGTCTTTGTTACTTCTGCAAAGATATGCTAGATGGTTTTGTTTTTAGTTCTTCTCGCTCTCAGATTACGATCATGGTTCGGCCAAATCTATGTATATTTGTGTTCTTTGTTTTTTGTTTTGACCAGTTTATATCTTTATATTTCTATTGGGCAGGTCGATCTGTTCTTCTATAGAGAACCTGAAGAGGCCAAAGAACAGGAAGAAGCAGAGGCTCCGGTGGCTCCTGATTATGGTGCTGTGACTGAGTTCACAGGCATGGGTGGAGCTGACCAGTGGACTTCTGACAAATGGGCAGACATGGGAGCTGGTGCCCCTGTCTCTTCAGTTCCTGCTGGTGACTGGCCTGCTGCTCCAGGTTAGCTCTTGCCAACTGTTGATTTTTGATGTCCATAGTTTTCTTGTACTGGTTTATTAAGATCATTATGGCAACATATTTTCAGAGTGTTAGTTATAATAGCAACATACTTTCAAAAGCCTTAAGGTGATTTCTAACTGTACCATAACAAGGTATTTCTTACTTCATTCAGTAAGATATGGTAGTATGCACGTTCATTGTGCATAATTCCGCATTCAAGATACCACAGACATAATCTGCAATTAAAATCCATTTGTGCTCTGTGGACTACGATTTCAATCACACTAGATCTCTGAAGTTCGCTAGTGCTGTACAAAGATGTCCAACATTATATTCTGAAGTTCTTACCTGAAGATGTTGAATGGAAATTTATCCGAAGGCATAAAAATGTCTATAACACTACTAATTTTTTAATTACAGAATTCACTGTGAATAACATGGAAATAGAAGTAGTTAACAGAATACCAATGTTTTATAAAGCTTCCGCCTAGGCCTAGATGGTACGTAGGCCGCCTAGGCTCAGCCCACCTAGAGCTTGACAGTGCCTACTGCCTAGGCTCTGCCTAGCGCTTTCTCTAACCTTGTAGAATGTCATTGATGACAGCAAACACAATTAAAGGATATCCATTGTTTAGAAGAAATGTTCTGTTGATGCTTGCTTAATATCCTAACAAGGCTCATGTTCGTACCACGGTAGATTTGTTTATTTACTAGTATTTCTTCATGGATGATTAAACTTATTATTACTAATTGATAATATCACTATCGATTTATTGTCTGCGCCACCAACCCTGAGCACGATATTATTGTGGACAAATTTTTGAAAACAACCCATTTGCAAAATTAATGAGCAAAATCGACCTTTTTTAAAAAGAAGAAGCAAAATCGACCCTTTTCATCACAACTCAGATGAAAAGGGTCGATTTTGCTGTAGCAGTTTTTTCAAACTACACGGGACTAGTAGTCTCGTGTAGTTAAGGCATGCTAATTGTGGATTAGCATGCAAATCAAATGGACGGGACTAGTAGTCCCGTCCATTTCATCGTGAAAGGCCTCAAAGGCCCAACTCTCTGGCACGCTCCCCATCGTCTCCACCCTCGTCCCACTGACGACCACAGGATCCGGCCTCCGCTCCCCCAAAGCACATTTCTAGTCCGTTCCCTACACCACAGTCCTTCGAGCTCCGCCTGCCCTCGTCCTCTTGATCATGTCCTCTAAATCCGAATCGTCTGAAAGCGCATAGGCACCAATGCATCTCCTCCGCCATTGAGTGTTGGCTCTGCTGCCATCTTCAGAGCCCAGTCTGCCAGCCTGTGCTTTGTCCTCCACTTGTCTTCACAAACCACCCGGCCGCCCGCTCGCTTCTGGCTGCCAACGCCTACCCCCTCTGTCGGGCGTGATCAGCTCGCTCGGCCGCCGCCTCTTACTTCACAATTGCCACTTTGTGACCTCTCCTATGTACCTCACCTCCTTTTCACGCCGCGCCCCCCCGTAGCTGGGCTCATCCTCTGGAGAGCCTCTTGTTTTCGCTCTCAGCTCATGGAGGGTCTTCGAAGTGGCTTCTTGAGGTCGAAGTGGTGGGGCAAACTTGCAGTAGCAGAGCGGAGCAGACGTAGGGGGAGGGGTTCCTGGAGAGCAGACCCAGCTGTGCGCGGGGGAAGGTGGCTGTAGGTGGAGATGGCGTCGACGGCGGCTGTGAAGAGCTCGGCGCAACAGCGGCGGAGGGCGAGGCGAGACGCACGAAGCGTGGGGGCGGCTGCGTTGTGCGAGTGCCCCAGCGACGACGACCTTCTGCTGGGGGGGAAGAAAATAATACGCCGGTGCGTGGGCGGCTCCGGGAAGCATGGCTCGATCTAGGGCTCGCAGGGGGACGGGTGCGGGTTGGAGGGAGATGGGGAAACTGATGGGTTTGGTGTGGGTGGGGGTGCAACATGCCTTAACTAAACGGGACTAGTAGTCCCGTGTAGTTCAAAAACACCCTGATAGCAAAATCATCCTTTTTCATTTTAGTTGTGATGAAAAGGGTCGATTTTCCTCTTTTTTTGTGAGAAGGTAGATTTTGCTCATTAATTTTGCAAAAGGGTTGTTTTCAAAAATTTGTCCTATTATTAGTTACAGAACTGGACTAGAATCCAAGTATTGCTCTCCCGAAACGATCCTTTTTTGATATATTGATAAATTTGTTTCTGCTCTTCTTTCCCCCTTTTTGTGAATAGCTCCAGTAGTGGGTGATGGATGGGATGCTGCTGTTGCTCCTTGCCTGCCTGGTCGTACCTGCCGGTTGGCTTGGAAGCTGCACCCCCATCTGCTACAGGCTGGGAATAGATCTTTAGTTTTCATGGTGAATTGGGGTCTGGCTTTATAAAGATCGTTTAGATGTTGCGTGAAAATTGTTATTGTTTTATTTAGTTTTCCACTTTTAGGCTGCTGAACTGTTTTTACTCCTTCATTGGTTGTATCTTTTCTCTTTCTTTTTCTCTTGAAAACATGGATAAGAGTAAATTTTGTTATGTTTGGCATCATGGTTGTCTTAATGTGTAATTTTATTTTTTTCCCTTAGATTTTTGTTAACCTTTGAGTAAATTTTTGGTTGTTTTATCTTTTTAAGATTGGTATGGTCTTTACATGACCTCTACAGGTTCGTACAAGACAGCTGTGTTGTGGAAAAAAAATTACCTAATAAATAATTTATTCTTTCTCCATATGACCTGCATCCCCAATTAAATAAGCTATACAAATATGTCCATTACACTGAGGATGGACGAAATCTCGCTCGTGTATGCTGGTGAAGTTGCTCTTTGTCACAGCATTGCGTCCACGGGGAATAAAATTACATGAACAGCCGGTAATACACTTTAATTTCAGTAGTAAAAGACATCTCCATGCAAAACCCAATCAACTCCTTGAAAACTTTTTATTTTTGGAGGTTATACCTCAAACTTTTTTTCGCTAACAGTTAAAAGTAACTAATTAACACTGGAAATTAAATTGGTTTAACGTTATGGGTTATGAAGGGGTGATCATGTTTTATTGTGACAGCTTTAATATCTGCTTAATGTTGATTTTATGTCCAAACGGACAAATCGGATCATTCTGTAGTGCAAAAATTGTTCTAGTAACTAGTTTCCACCTCACTGGCAAATTTACCTCTTTGAATGACAGCTTTAATCCTGTTGCGAGTGCTGTTAAGGCGCTCCGGCGGAGGAGGAGATGCGGTGGTGAGTTGTGAGGTTGTGCTGTTTGAGCATTTGATTTGGATGCTTGAGACTGGAGGGGGTGATCAGGATATATTGGGATCCTCTACTAATGCATAGTGTTCCTAATATCTCCTAATAAAGAGATTTTAGCCTTTGATTTATCAATCAAATGCCAAGATCTCATCCTTATCCTCCCACTACTTTTTCTCATGAGGAGATCTTAGCATTTGATTGATAAATCAAAGGTCAAGATCCCATTAGGAGATATTAGAAACCTCCTTATTAGTAGAGGATCCATCAGGATTATGAGCGTGTTGATGACTTGGTCGAGTATTATGAGTGTTGATATGAAATTTTTTCCTTTTGTGGGCGGTGAGTCACTGCGGAGGAGGGGAATGAGAGGGCACGCACGTTAGGGGTAGAAGTGTAATTTTGCGGTGGATGAGGATTCCGTTTTTGTAATCGCGCGCAAATGTTGGTTTTGGTTTACTATAGTGTATGTAAATGTGAGTTTCGGCAATTATTTTTGTTTGTTTTCCTTTTTTGTTATTAGGAGCACAAAGAGTTTTGTGTACATTCATTTGGTAGATTAATGCCTTTTATCATTTTTATTCTGATCATGCGACTGGGCAAACTAGAAATGTGAGCTCACAATAATTCCACGTTTATTCATCAGAAATGCACTTCATGTAACTATATATGTAAACTATTTTATTAACCCTTACACATTCCATAGAAGATTATTAAGTTTCGGGTTTGGTTAATATGTCATGTAGAAATTACTTGGCTTTTGCTTGCAGTAATTGATAAAGATTAAATTATCTGCCAGCTTAACGATAGAGAAGTACCAGCATTATACATAAGTACGATGGTGTAACATGTTTGGTTGGTTTCTTGGAAGCCAAAAAAAAAAAGAGGTGACATCTCATCTTTATTCTTAGTTGCAAGATGAGAATCAATCAAAGCAAAAGAAACTATTATACAAAACATATTTTCTATAATGGGTTTCTATGATTTTTTGGGCAACCACATAGGTTTTGTGAATAAGGATTAACGTGAAGTTGTCAAATAAGCAACCAAAGATTTTGCAGCACATAATCTCCACAGGACCTTTTTTCTGCCTTTTGGGTCCACAGGACCTTTTTTCTGCCTTTTGGGAATCTGTTGAAAGTCCAATTAGCAACCAATTTAAAGCTCGAAACTGGACACTCAGACAATTTTTATTCAATATAGGGTTTTCAACATTATATCATACTAGTATAATTGCTATAAAATAAGGAGCTGATCGTTGAATTAATAAGTATAAATTGTAAATAATTGGTAGATAGTGGTGCTAGGAATTTTATGGAGATTAATCTGCGGAATTAAACACTAAACAAATAACGGCGCCAATGAAAATACTACACGCAAGCAAACATCAAAATTTAACGTGGTTTGGCAAATCGTGCCTACGTCCACGGGGCAATCCAGAGAGCAATATTTCACTATTAATCGAGAGTACAATCTCTCAAAGTTACACCCGAATTTGAGGATCAAATCACAAAGAGAAAAATACAGCGTTACCTCTAAAGCACCAAAACCCTAAAACCCATCTCACCACACATCTCCAATTCCCGCCGAGAAACTAACACTGTACCCTCGATGACGTCGTCGTTCTGAATACAATGGCTTTTAAATCACTATAATCAGACAACTAAGCTATCCGGAATCTCAACTTCTCGTGGTACTCTTCACGTGCCCAATTCCTTTAATAAAGGAATTTTATCCCTAAATCCTCCTTTCCTATTCAAATTATGAATAGGTCCCTCAAATCATTTTCTTAGTAGGATACAACCAATTTGACCTAGTTCTTGTGGGCCCCAATTTGGATGGACCCACAACAAACTTTCCCTCCAGCCCAATGAGGGGTATACCAACCTGTAACTCCTCATCGGGAGTTCTTGCCAGCCAATCGCCGACATAACTCGGTCTTCTCTCTAGAAACAATCTTCATTAAAAAATCTGTTGGATTTTTATCTGTGTGAATCTTTTGTAGCTTCAGCTACTCTTTCTCACCAGTTTCTCTAAGCCAATCACATCAATGTGTTTTGTCCTGGATTGAAATATAGAATTCTTGCTCAAATCAAAAGCACTTTGACTATCAATAAACATTTGATAATTGTCCTGCTGCAAACCTAACTTCTACAGAAATCTTCTCAACCAAACAATCTCCTTGCCAGCTTCTGTAACTGCAATATATTCCGTCTTTGTTATAGATAAAACAACATATTTCTGTAACCTTGATTGCCAAGATACGACTCTCCCTACAAAAGTAAACAATCAACTTGAGGTGGACTTCCTGTGATCGAGATCACCTGCTATGTCCTTATTTGCAAAACCATGTAATATTGCTTTCGAACCTCTAAAACTTAAACATAATCTGGAACTGTCTTTTAAATATTTTAAGGTCTTATTTACACCTTCTCAATGAACTTCCCTGGATTGAAAAGAAAACTGCTCACAACGCCAACTATATGAGCTATATCTGGCTGAGTGCAAATTGTGACATACATCAAACTCCCTACAGCTGAAGAGTAAGGAATATTCTTCATCTCATTCTTTTCCTCATCTGTAGTCCGGAAAAACTTCTTGCTAAGCTTCAAATGACCTGTAAGAGGAGTACCGACTGACTTGACATCTTTTATGTTAAACTATCAAGCAACAATTCGACATATTTCTCCTGTGATAATCATAGCTTCCTAGATTTCCTATCACGAGCAATATCCATACCAAGAATATGTTGTGCCGAGCCCAAATCCTTCATGTCAAAGGATTTAAATAACTTCTTCTTCAGCGCACTGATCATTTAACTCTCTTGACCAACAATCAACATATCGTTCACATAAAGTAAAAGGATAATAAAGCTAGAATTTGAAAATCTCCTGAAATATACACACGAATCTGTAATTATCCTCTGGTAGTCATAACTCAACATGAAAGAATCAAATTCCTTGTACCACTGCCTGAGTGCCTGCTTCAAACCATAGAGGCTCTTCTTCAACCTGCAAATGATGTGTTCTTTTCCCTTCACTTCAAAACCCTTCGGCTGCTCCATGTAGATCTCCTCCTCTAAATCACCATGAAAAAATACAGTCTTTACATCAAACTACTCAATCTTAAGGTCCAAACTAGCTGCTAACCCCAAGATAACTCTAATGGACGTCATCTTCACAACCGATAAGAAAATCTCATCAAAATCAATGTCATTTTCTCTTCCTTCATAGCCTAGAACCATCTATCCTTATCTTTATGAGCATATGCCTCCTGAAATCTCTCTGGCTCCCCCTCTTATGTCAGTAAAGAATACTCTGAAAGAGAATATCTTATGGATGGTCGGTGCTCTCTAGCTGATCTCCTAAGTTGTGGCTCTATAATCTCCTATTGCTGGTAATGCTCTCCCTACTGAGGAACCTCCTGCTCGTGATCCTGATCACTATCTCCTTGTTCTGGTATCTGACCATCATCATCAACACCATTATTATACACCTGCTCTGTATCTATAGGATGCAACTATACTAGAGATAAAACAGTGTCATATCTGTAATCTCACTAGCAACACTCTCTGACTGCTCTGCTCTCCTAAGATCTACAATAGTCTGGTCCTCCTAAAAAATCACATTTGCTAGTTTGATAATTCATCTCTTTTCTAGATCCCATAGGTTGTAGTCGAACTCATCTTCTCCGTAACCAATAAAGATGCAAGGAGCTGCCCTATCATCAAGCTTTTGCCTCTTCTCCTTTGGAATGTGTGCGAACGCCTTATAACTAAATACCTTCAGATAAGAGTAGGAAATATCTCTTCCGGACCAAACCCTCTCTGAATTATCAAAACTCAAAGGAACTGAAGGAGACTTGTTGATTTGTAGCATGCAGTGTGAACAACTTCGGCCCAAAAACTCTTAGGTAACTTCATCATCTTCAACATGCATCTGACTTTCTCCACAATGGTCCTGTTGTACCTCTCTATAACTCCATTATGCTACGGTGTGCCAGACTCTGTCCTCTGATGCCGAGTATCATACTTGGTGTAATAATCTCTAAACTCAATATAAATGTACTCTATTCCATTATCGGTGCAAAAACACTTCAATTTCTTTCCTGTCTGCCTCTCCACCATAGCATGAAACTGCTGAAAGACTGAAAATACCAAATCCTTTGTCCTCAACATGAAGACCCACATCTTTCGCGATGCATCATCAATAAATATAGCAAAATACTTATTGCCACCCAATGACTCCACCTCGATAGGACCACAAACATCAGAATAAATCAAATCCAGCATATTATATTTTCTTTTAGAAAGCTTACTAAAAGAAACTCTATGT